TGTTGGGGGGTTGACTGGTACAGTCACCAAGGGAACTGTTGTCCATATATTTCCCTATTGTTTCTTTGACTCTAAAGAATTGATTCATGTCCCCAGCTTGAGACTTGTTATTCTTACGTACTTGAGAATGTGTGTCAGGTTCCTTATCTGGTTCTTATCATTAAGTTTGTTAGATCATCAAAATATAACAAGAATCCATATAACCTATAAATTTTCCCCTTTTGATGATGACAAACTTATAATTGAAGTTCTCCCTAAGAACCAGAATTCCCCCTGAATCTGTTCCCTATATTGTTCCCCTTTAATTTATCTTCCCCCTTTTGGAATCATAAAAAGATTAGTAGCAAGCAAGAATCAAAAAGAAGTCTAGCTTGGTTAACTCATGCCATATGTGTGCACACAACATAACAAAAAAACAGAGCAAAAGAGAAAGACATGCACAACAAAAGGACCAAATTATCATTAAGTTTTGGAAATAAAACAGGGAGCAGTTCCATTGTTACCAAATCATCCACAAAATAAAAACAACAAAAAGGTACCGGTCATAAACATCTCTAAGCATAAGAAAAGAAAACAGAGGACATGCACTAAGAACCTGACACTGGGAAGGGAACGACTGTTAAGGTGCATTGGAAGGGGGAGCACTGGAGGCAGAGGAAGAGGCAAGAGTTCTAAGAAGGATCTCCATTCGATCATTTGCAGACACCTTCTCGTTAGCAACCTTTCCTTCCGATCCTCAACCTATTTCCCTAGAGCAAAATTTTCCTTTATCAGACGGGAAACCTCTATGCTTTGGGAACTACTGGAAGCATGTGTCTCCTGGGCCTTTGAGATACCTCAAGATTCTTTTGGCAGCTTTCAGATGAGATTTCTTTGGATTAGACTGAAACCTAGCTCAAAGTCCCGCACTGAAAATAATATCTGGTCTACTTGCTGTGAGATACAAGAGTGACCCGATGATACCTCTATACATGGTATCATTTACAGGAGAAACATGTTCATTTATGTCCAGACGGGTAGCAGTGGCAATGGGAGTTTGCTTGACTTGTAATCCCAAGAAGAAATTTAATTCCCCTATTATGCTCATTTCAAACTCACTTTCCATAAGTTTTGCAAATTCCTCACACATCGAATCATTTGTTTCTCCAAAGATGATGTCATCAACATAGACTTGCACAATGAGCAGGTTCCTCTCTCATTTCTTCAGAAATAAGGTATTGTCAATTTTTGCTCTTGTAAAACTATTTTCAAGAAGAAATGTGGACAACCTTTCATACTAAGCACGAGGAGCCTGCTTTAGCCCATATAATGCCTTGTCAAGTTTAAAAACATGCCTAGGATGCTCATGATTCTCAAATCCAGGTGGTTGCTTGACGAAGACTTCTTCTTTTAGAAAGCCATTCAGAAATGCACTTTTGACATCCATTTGGAACAATTTGAATTCCATATGAGATGAAAAGGCAATGAGGATTCTGATGGCCTCCATTCGAGCAACTGGAGCAAAGGTTTCATCATAGTCAATCCATTCTTCCTGATTGTAACCTTGAACTACTAGCCTTGCCTTATTTCTAGTTGTGTTTGCAAACTCACCAAGTTTGTTTCTGAATACCCACCTGGTTTCTATAACAGTTCTATCAGCAGGTCGTGGAACCAGGTGTCATACGTTGTTCCTCTCAAATTAATGGAGTTCTTCTTGCATAGTCGTAATCCAATCAGCATCTTTCAATACTTCGTTGATATTTTTGGGCTCAATTTGAGAGAGAAAAGCTGAGAAGGCAAGCAAGTTTCCTGTCTTTGATCTGGTTTGAATTCTTGAGTTAAGAAGAGTGATCACATTTTCAAAAGGATGTGAACTTTTGTGTTTCCAGTTAGACACTTGAACCTCATTGTGGGAAGGTTCAGGTATTTCTGAAAGTGATCCTTGGTTGTCGTGAGTTCTGCTTATCACCTCAGCATGTGGGGTGCCTTGGACAACATTAACAACTCTATTTTCAGCTTCAGTTGTTGTGATTGAGGAACCAGGTTCCTCCCCATTAGTTGGAGATATGACTGCACCATTATCATTTAATTCCTTGACGTGGCTCATCATGTCAGCTTCACCAGGGACAATTGACTGTTCTCTATCTTGATCAATCTTATCATGTGAATCCTTCCCACATAAGTGGTGAGATTCATCAAAGATCACATGTATACTTTCCTCAATGCATTGAGTTCGTTTGTTGTATACTTTGTTGGCTTTGCTTTGTGATGAATAGCCCAGAAAGATTCCTTTATCAATTTTGGCATCGAATTTTCCAAGTGCTTCCTTGCCATTGTTGAGGACAAAACATTTACACCAAAATGTCCTTATATATGTCAGCTTGGGCTTCCTCCTGTTCAGCAGTTCATATGGGGTTTTGTTCAGAAGGGACATAATCATGCACTTGTTTACCAAGTAGCATGCAGTGTTGACGGCTTCTGCCCATACGTTTTTTGCAATACCACTGTCAATCAACATTGTTCTTTACATGTCTTCAAGGGTCCTATTTTTCCTCTCCACAACACAGTTTTGTTGAGGTGTTCTTGGAGCTGAAAAATTATGAGTGATGCCATTTTCAGCACAGAATTCGTCGAATTTGGCATTGTCAAATTTTGTGCCATGATCCGACCTTATACTTGCTACATTATGGCTCATCTTCACCTGGATCTTTTTTGCAAATGCAAAAAATACTTCAAAGGTTTCATCCTTAGTTCTGAGAAACAGAGTCCAAGTAAATCTTGAATAGTCATCCACAATTACGAAGATGTACTTGTTTCCTCCTCTACTTGGAACTCTCATAGGTCCACATAAATCCATATGGAGGAGATCAAGTGGCCTTGAGGTACTAACTTCCTTTTTGGGCTTGAAAGAAGATCTGACTTGCTTTCTTTTTACACATGCATCACACACCTTGTGATCCTTGAAGCTTTCCTTGGGCAGGCCACGAACCAGGTCCTTCTTGACCAATTTTTTTAGTAATGTAAAGCTTGCATGACCTTGTCTTCTGTGCCATAGTTCAACATCATCATCTACAACACTCAGACAACTGAGATCCCTATTTTGCAGGGATTCAAAGTTAGCAGCATAGATGTTTTGTATCTTTTAGCTACCAAAACCACTTCACCAGCCACAAGATTTGTGACTATGCATATTTTTGACACAAATTCCACTTTGTTTCCCTTGTCACAGATTTGGGAGACACTCAACAAGCTGTACTTCAACCCGTTCATATAGTACACATTTTCAATTGAGTGAGAGAGAGACTTTACAATCCTTCCAACTCCCAGAATGTATCCCTTTTTCCGTTTTCCAAAGGACACACTCCCTCCTTGCAGGGCCTTGAGTGAAAGGAAATCATTTGTGCTTCCAATCATATGCTTCGAGCAGCCCCTATCCATGTAGCATTGTTGGCTTCTCCCTTTCACTACTCCCTGCACAAGAAAATCAAGGGTTAGACTTAGGAACCCAAACAAGTTTGGGTCCCTTGTAATGAGGAAAGGGATGAATCGGGACTCTCTTGGTCCAAGCAGGCATCACACTTTTTTTATATGAGGGACCAGGTTCTTTAGCAGTAGTTACCTTTTCAGAAAAAACTTTGTTTTTCTGTTGAGACTGAAATTTGGCCTTATAGGTTTCCTTAAAGTGCCCAGTGTTACCACAATGAGTACAGAGCTAGTTATCAGGTACAATAAGGTACTTGCTATGAGGGTTGTAAGGATTTTTTTCCCTTTGGAACCCTATTCCTTGCATGTTTCCCCCATTGTTCTTATACATGGAAGTGATAGCATCAGAGGACCATGTCCACTTAATTGATTTTTCTAGATCACTCTTAACTCTTCCTAGATCTTCCTGAAGTTACTTGTTTTTCTCAAGTTCAACACACAGACTAGATTTTACTGATTTTAACTCATCTTCAATCCTAAGATGTTCCTCACTTGCAACTTCCTTTCCCTTTCGAGTAATCTCATGACTACCTTATCATTTTTGTTCATCAGTTGTTTCCTTTAGGTCCACAACTACTACTAATAGCTCATCTCTCTCATGATCTATGTTAGCTACCTTTTCAATTAAGGCTTCTTTATCTTCTTTAAGACACTTAAGGATCTCTTTTAGATCAACCACAACAACCATTAGGTCATCTCTCTCATGTTCTATGTTTACAATTAATTCAGTTAGGGCATCTTTTTCTTTTTCCAAACTCTCAATGGTTTCTTTTAAATCGACCACAACAACTACTAGATCATCCCTCTTATGTTCTACTTCTCCTAGTTCCACAGTTAAAGCATTTTTATCATTTATAAGACTGTGATAAGCATCAATTAAAATATTTGCCAAGGACATAAGTTTTTTTTGAAGAGTAAGACTTCAGATTTCTTTGAACATCTAGAAAGTTTACCTCATCATCATTATCTTCATTGTCGTCAGATTGTGCCACCAGGGCAAAGATAGAGTCATATTCGGTTACTTCACTTTCTATTGCCATTATAGAGCTTTCACCTTTTTCATCATCTTCACCAGATTCGCTGGAAGAGTCTCCCCATGCAGCAAGAGCTTGTTTCATAACGTTGTCATCAACATCTTTTTTTGGAATCATTTGTCAGGAACCTGGTTCCTTTTAGCTGCTTTGTCTATGTTGTATTTGTACTGATCTTGCTTGAGGAGAGGGCAATCTTTGATGAAATGTCATGACTTTTCACACTTATGACATAGGTTATAGCCTCTTTTCTTGCTGGAGCTGCCCCATTTTGGAATAACTCCATTTTTGCGAACCATTTTATGAAATCTCTTTGTCAAGTAAGCCATATCAGCATCCTCACCACTTGATTCATTGTTGTCTGTCTTGAAGACCAGGTTATTCTCCCTTTTGGGTTCTCTTCTTTCATTGTCCTTCTTTTTCTTCATTTCATAAGTGTTCAGATTCCCAATGAGCTCATCAATGGTCAGCTTCTGTAGATCCTTTGCATCCATGATAGCATTTACTTTACTTTCCCAGGAACTGGCAATATGCTAAGTATTTTCCTGACAAGTTTGTTCCTTGGAATGATTCTCCTAGAGAATGGAGTTCATTGACGATAGAGGTGAAGCGAGTGTGAATGTCCTGAATGGACTCATCATCTTTCATCCTGAAGAGCTCATACTCTGTGGTTAGCATATCAATCTTCGACTGCTTGACTTGAGTTTTCCCTTCATGAGCTATTTGGAGAGCTTCCAGGATCTCCTTAGCAGACTGACATGCTGAAATCTTGTTGTATTCGTCTGGTCCAATACCATAGACAAGAATTGTTTTTGCTCAAAAGTTCTTGTCTATGACCTTGCGATCAACATCATTGAATTATTTTCTTGTTTTGGGAACTGTTACTGCTGGGTCACCACTGGTCTTCATAGGGACGAAGGGTCCATCGCAGATAACATCCCAGAGCTCTGAATCTTCAGCCATGATAAAATCATGCATCCTTGTCTTCCACTATCCATAGTATTGGCCGTTGAATCTTGGTGGTCTTTAGGTAGATTGACCTTCTTCAAAGTTTGGTAGAGCAGCCATGAGGATCCTTTCTAGGTGTTAGCCTCATAGAAAGAACCCGCTCTAATACCAATTGATAGAAACTAAGGGTCCACCAAACTATATAGAGAACTAGATTTTCTATTAGTTTTCACTGAACGCACGCACACTGCAGTAAGTAAATAACACAATGGAATTTTACGTGAAAAACTCCCAGCTCACGGGATTAAAAACCACGACCTACCCTTGTAGGATTTCAACTTCACTACTGAGCAAACTTCAGATTACAACCTATTGTAACCTAGGAATTAACCTCTTAATCCCTCACTAACTTGTAACAACTCTATTACAAGCCCCTTTGTAATAACTCTATTGCAAAGCTTACAACTCGACTAACTCTAGCCAAGACACAAACACAAGGTTTATGTTTTTACAAAAGTTTCCTACACAATGCTTCTAACTAAGCTAAGTAGGAATCACAGGTAAAGTAATTTAAAAAATGTGCAACACAACTAAGGACATGTAATAACTCAATACAGAGAACTGGTCCTTTGTTATGTTGTTCTTTGTTCTTGATGTCCTTGAGAATCACTTGCAGGATTGACGCACACACTTGAGAGAATGCTGGATGGATTCTTCAATGTTCAAGTGATGTTTTCCTTTGATGCAATGTTAATATTACATAGGTGACATCACTTGAATAATGCAAGCATGTTTGGTACAAGGGCATTCCCAATAAAGTTGATTGTTGCACCGTTTTGCACTATTGCGTGTGCAGGCAACAACTTTACAGTTGTTGGGGGTTGACTGGTATAGTCACCAAGGGAACTGGTGTCCATCTGTTCCCCTGTTGTTTCTTTGACTCTGAAGAGTTGATTCACGTTCCCAGCTTGAGACTTGTTATTCTTACGTACTTGAGGATATTTATTAGGTTCCTTATCTGGTTCTTATCATCAAGTTTGTTTGATCATCAAAACATAACAAGAATGCATATAACCTATCAACACCCTTCTATTCTCATCTTTTTCCTCTCCTCTTTCAACATATTAACACGTACATCAGAATGTAGGTAACATGAATAGTGTGATAGAGCAATTCTTCATTCTTCAAATGATGTTTGGATTTATGTGAACCTTCTACAATTCTTCTTGGTCAAGTTTTAGGGCAAAATGATTTTAAAAGAAGACTCAAGAATCAAGCTTTATCTAAAAAAAAATTACGATTAAACATACTGTAAGCTATCGACTGTAGCACAAAATTAAGGATTGAATAAGAATTCTATTGCTAGCAAGAAAGCAAAGAATATCTATGGAAAAATGTAAACTACAGTTGTAATAAAATTATTAAAGAATTCAAGAAACTATAATTGGATCCTAAATAGATCCAAGTCTTAATTCTGATTTTTCAGTATTTTTTCCTAAAACTAATAGATGCCACATCACTAAATAGGTACTGAAAATTGTATTTTCGGCTAATTAAAAACTTTAATGGCGAGTTACTACGATCAACTTATAAAAAAATAAAGACCTGCTATTACAAAGTAGGCAAATACGAGAGATAAGCAGAATAGCTTACAACTACATCTACAATAATGAACATCTGGGTATGAACTGGTTGTGTATGAGCTTCTGGGTTCTACTTGCCGTTGGTTTCGTTCAATCACCATTATTCTGCTCTCCTGTAATCTTGTTTGCACATGATCTCCTCTAATCTTATTTGCACATTTTTTTCTGTCTTCCCACATATTTCGCATAATCTGTAAAATCGCAAGATAATGCTATAAGATGTTGTTGCATGCCTTACTCAATATTAAGTACAACCACAATGCTATAAGATAAAATGCAAGGAATATTAAGTATAACCACAATGCTATAAGATAAAACTCAAGGAATATTAAGTACAACCACAATGCTATAAGATAAAACTCAAGGAATATTAAGTACAACCACAACTACAACTCAATTTTGAGGTCAGTTATATGAATCCTTAATGTCCATGTTGTTTGTCCAAAAAGTGATAATCTTTGGCTAAACTAATTAATCGGTTATTTAAGAGGTTAATCCTAGTTAAATATAATAACTTCAGATCTGGGTTAAGTAATGTAAGAGATGTGGATAGTGTCACGATATATTTAATGCATTGAGTATTAAATGCTTCGAATGCAATAATGTATTAGAAATATCAGATATTAAATAGCAATAAATGACACCAAATGTAAATAGAGAGGAAGATTCACCCAATATTGAATGAGGTGGATGATTCCTTTCTCTGACAATGATGAATGACAAGAATATGTGAGAATATGGAAGACTTTCTCGGATCTGGTGGAATGACAATGAATAATCCAAAAAGATGAATCTCTTCAGAAAGGTGTTCTTTGTATTTCTCTAGAGAGCTTGATTTTCAAAAGAGTTCTTATCACATAGAATATTACCTAACCTTGATCTTATCTCTCATTCTATTTTTAAGGAATATTCCCAAAGAACCCTAAAAGTACAAACATGGGGAATATTCAAAAGATCCCAATACAAAACTAACTGTTACTACTACCTACACTACTCGACCTCGGCCGCGGTTGACCGCCTGGCGATACGTTCTGTTAATTACTGGTCGACCTAGGCCGAATTGCTCATGATAATCATCTCTTCATGCTGAATTTCTTCGGTCTGATTTCGACCCATACAGTTAGTCCCTCTGCTTAACGAGGTTATCTTTTGGTCGACCTCGGTGAGCATACTTCATTAGTCGTAGTCGAGAAATTCAGGTGGGCAGGTCGAGTAGTGAAGATCATGGTCGAGATGGTAACGTGGCACTTTGCAGGCCATAACTTATCGTGACATTGGTTCAGACTGACGTCACAGCATTATGCGTCATTATTACACATCTTCCTCTATAAATAGGGGTTGGGAACCCTTCTTGTGATCCTTTATGTTTTCTAGCATTTGAACCAGCATATTTTCCTCCCTTCTTCTTCTTCTTCTTCCTGTATTCTTGCTCCTGTTGCTTCCATTCTCGCACCCTTATTCTTCTTTCTGGTTGGAGCAATTCCTTCTACTTCTACCTTTATCGAGTTTGGTTGCTGACATTCACGATTGGGTAAGTCAAGTCTTGCCCCACATGGTAGGGATCCGTGAATGGTTGGCGTTCCATAAGAAGTTTGGGCGTAAACCTTCTATGACCGGTGAGTCATTTATTTTGAAATCTTGTTTCTTCGGCCCTCATGTTGTCTTCTTTTCCATCTCTTCTCTTCTGTGGCGGGGTTGGCTTAACTTCTGCTTTTTTTTGTCAGGTCGGAGAGCTTCGAGAAGAGTGAAGGCTCATACCCCCGCTTTTCATCAGCCAAATGCTATGACAGGGTCTCTACTTGGTGTGACTGCAGGCAGGTCCATTCAAGCGACTACTTCTTCTCAGACCTCGGTACTGCGCAAGCCTAGTAGACGAGCGGCGGCCCCATCGGCGGAGACTCCAGCTTCCCCTTTGTCACACTTGGTAGACGAGTCATCACCGAGTGAGGAGGGACTGATTCCACTTAAAAGGATGAGGGTGGAAGTCAGTGACGGGGCATCTGGAGCCGAAGAGTCGACAAGGGGCGACCCTGAATTGTCCATGGCCGCATCGGAGAGTGCGGTGGATTTGGTTACTATGGCTTCGCAGCCTGTGGAGGTCGTAGAAGATGCTCCTCTGCCCGAGGTCATTGTCGAAGAAGAAGGTCTACCAGAGGCTACCTAGGCCGTGCCGAGGAGCAATCCATCACGTTCAAGACAGGCTGACGTTCCTTCGTCAATCGAGGATAGAGGGAAGAGTGTGGCCGTGGATGGCTACGAGACCGATTCTGAAGTCGACCCTGAATAGGTGCGGATGTTCACTGAAGGGTTTACTCGGGTGGAGGTCAGGCTAGAGGGATCCACTTGCACCATAGTCATCCCCCTTGACCGCGACTTATTGGTGAATACAGAGAACATGGTTCCCTCTTTGGGTCCTCTCTGCTCTAACATCGAGGGCATGACATTACAGACGTTCGATGATACTGCTCTGTCATCGGGCATATCCGAAATGTCCTTGAGGGTAAGTTTATGATCTTTCTAGTTCTCGTGCCTTACATTCTTCCTCTTCTTTTTTTAGGCTGACTTCCTTCTTCTTCTACTTCCTCTTTTTCATTAGACTATCATTTTGGAGATTGAGAGTGCCCGCCAAGAAGAGAAGTGGAAGGCTATTTTTAAGAAAATAGAGAGGAAGTACCGTGAGTACCGTGCCAAGAATCGTGAGATCTGCATCCGATTTGGTGTGGATGACAACTTCCAGGCCCTTAGGGATGAGTTGAAGTAGAAAGACGATGAGCTTGTGAGAGTCATCGGCAAATGCAACGAGCTAGAGGGAGCACTTAGAGTCAAAGAGGATGAGCTCGAATTGAGCAAGGGGGTCAAGGCTGAGTGTGCCGACCTTCAAGCTCAAGTGGCATCCCTGCGGGCTAAACTTGAGCAGAGTTCGATCAGAGCCAACAACTTAAGTGACGAGGTGATCGAAAAGGCGGCAAAGTTGGGGAAGGCCGAGAAGAGCAGGGTGGAGGCTTTGGCGAAGGTGGTAGCATTGGAAGATACCAACTGCGCCCTCCAATCTGAGCGGGCGAGTGATGCGGATATGATCGTGCTTAGGGAGGAAGGCTTGATGAGCGGATTGGGGGTCTTGAGAAAGAGGTTTCGAACCTCAATGATCATATCGCCGTTCTCGAGGCCGAAAAGGCACATCTGTTGGCTCGACCGTCTTCCCCTCATACTTCTACTTATACCGAGATTCTGTGGTATTTGTACGAGAAATGGATCCATACCGAGGCCTGGCTAGACATATTCAGGGACTTGATGATGACAGGGAGAGTTTCTGAGGTTGAGTTTGAGGATGCTCGTGCTAAGGTGCGCGCAACTCGGGCTGCCTGTGGTTAT